CTGTATGGTGTTATAAGATGGGCGGTGGACAAAAGTACAATACACGAAGTCACACTGGCCGAGTTGGAGAAGATAGCGCTCCGCCTCAATCCCGATAAGAAGAAATCGATACACAAGACATTCCGGTGAGTTTTACATGAAGGATTGATCTCCTTGTCATCCAGTATTTCACTGGGTTGGGCTGGGTCGATGGCGAGGAGAAGGAATATGTATGTGTGTGTGTATGGCGGGAGGGGGGGGGGGGTGATGGTCTAATAATTATAATTATATGAGAAAGTGATGGACGACCTGCGCTGGGATCCTGACTGCTCTCTAGCTTGGTGTCTGAGCATTCTTTCCCAGTAGCAAAGTCCAGGGTTTGCAAGCTCGGACACTGAGCCAGAGTCCAGGGTTTGCAAGCTCGGGCGCTGAGCCAGAGTCTATGGTTTGCAAGCTCGGGCACTGAGCCAGTAATGAAATGTAAAAATAGAAGAAAACACGGAACGATGCCCTGTGATCACACTTTCTGACTGAGTATTATCTTGTGACAGTCGTGGATAGTAACACTAGTATTTGGTGCAGAGCATGTGAAAACGGCGCAGGTAGGCAGGCATAGTGGGATGGTCTAAGACCATGATTGAGAAACAAATGGTACCAGGTTCAAGTCCTGCTTGGAAGCGGAAGGAATTTTTCCAGCCGTGCTTCGACCCACAGTTAATTGGGAACTCGTGGCCTGGCACGAGAGTAACATGGATGCAGCTTATGGGATTTCGGTATTTGACCACTTGGTGGTGGGTCTGGTCTACTCACCTCCCACCGTTTAGGCACTGCATCTGCTAGGGAGGGCCCCAATATGCTTGCGTATATTTTCGCATATTTTGGTCCTTTTGACACAAGGTCGCATAAAGTAGCTAATATTGCACCAAATGTAGCATATTTTGCTACGAGGAGCGAAGAATTGACTCAAGTGTGCCTAGACTTTAGCAAGTAAACATAAATTTAATTTACCCGGTCCGCTCCTAAAGGGAACTCAGGACCAGGCAGGCAGGCAGCCCAGGATCAGGCAGGCAGGCAGCCCAGGATCAGGCAGGCAGGCAGCCCAGGATCAGGCAGGCAGGCAGCCCCAGGACCAGGCAGGCAGGCAGCCCAGGATCAGGCAGGCAGGCAGCCCAGGATCAGGCAGGCAGGCAGCCCAGGATCAGGCAGGCAGGCAGCCCAGGATCAGGCAGGCAGGCAGCCCAGGATCAGGCAGGCAGGCAGCCCAGGATAAGGCAGGCAGGCAGCCCAGGATCAGACAGGAACAGTGGGTTAGTTAATGAACATGATTGAGGTAGACTGTTGTACAGTCAGACCTCACTTAACGGCACGCATCCATTTTCCACAAAACAATCTCTTGATACTAGTAGGCGAGGGCGAGGGCGAGGGAACTGGATAATCGAACACCGGTTACTGTATAGGAGAAAACCTTCGGACGAAATTTATTTTCGTACGATTTCGTACACAGCCTCTTTTGCACTAAAATTAATTCTGTACTAAAATTTGTTCCTGTGAAGTTACGTACACTGTGCACTATCCATGCGTACCGCATGCCAACACGTGCATTTAGCATCAAGCACTGTACGAAAATATAATCCGTGCGAAAGGTCGAAATTCGGCTTTTTCGGAAAATATTTCCGTCCGCAAATTTCCTGCTATACAGTATGTTGGATGCACGACGCATGCTGTAAATCTGTAACCTGTTATTTTCTTCCGGATGGCGAGGGATCGGGATGAAAGATAACCGGATAAGCAAGGTCTGACTGAACATGAAAATAAGAATGGTGTACAGTACTGTAGGACGCCAAAGAACTGGCCGGTCAGGGTTCTAGCCTAGCACGGTATTATTGTTTACAGAACGCAGCAGTCACGTTCTTATTTGCTGTCTTCTGACCCGCCATGATTAACATGAAAGTACATGTTGCTTTCATATGTTCTGTCCGTCTTTCAGACCGGAACTCTAACCATGGGCCAACCTCATTACCTCCATGCAGACCGGCATTAACTCCACCATAGCATGGATGGAAGCTTGGAAGCTGAGGCCCAACATCACGAAGACCGAAGCAATGTTCATCAGCCCATCGCCGCCTACTCAGCCGTTGCACTTTCCAGGAGCCAATGCTAACGTTAAAATTGTTCTTGAACACAAACACCTTGGTGTTATATTCGACAGCCATATGTCCTGGTCCCCACAGGTCCAGTCAGTATGCAAGCGAGCTAGCTCCTCCCTTGGCATGTTGCAACCGCACTGCCACCATTTAAATGACCATTGCCGAAAATTGTTCTTTACGTCGTATATTCTACCTATATTTGATTACTGTGACACTGCGTGATGCGGTCTGTCTCAGGCCCTTGTTCAAACTCTGGACATACACCAGCGTCTGCTTCTAAAAATCCTGTTTCGCAAAAATCTAACATTCTCCTCCCAACGTCTCTACAGTTTAGCTTCAGTATCTCCCCTTTTAGAGCGACACCAGCAACATCTTTGCATCCTTGTACACATGATCTTATTAGACCTGGCTCCAAAACACTTTGCTAAGTATAACTGGTTTGTGCCCACCAGATCAACACGTCATTCCTTCTCATTACCCCGTGCCAATACTTCCCTGTTTCTGAAATCTCCTATCTTCTCTGCGTACACTCTCTGGTCTTCCCTGCCAACTAGCCTTAAAGCATGCACAGACATTAAGGAGTTCAAGCTTCAGCTTCTTCGTCCTAAATAATCTCACCATTTTCGTCAGCCCTCCCCTTGCAGTACTCTCTTTGTTTCTCTCCTTATTATTCAGTTCGCCGTGGTTCGCTACCACCCGACTTCTCATATATGTTGGACTCAGTAGAGCGTCCAGCCCCTATATGATGTCCAACCCCTATATAGAGTCCATCGGTCCATAATCCACTGTACAGAGTCCAAACTTGGAATCAACTGTGAGCTCAAAGTTTAGATGGACATCACTGTATAGAGTCCAGCCAATTGGCTTCACCCCTATATAGAGTCCATTGGTCCAAAATCAACTGTACAGAGTCCAAACTTTGAAATCAACTATAAAGAGTCTTTATGTGGACAACACTCCCTGTATAAAGTCCAGCCAATTAGGCATGCCCTATCCAGAGTTCGAAATTAGACATAGGATCTGCTGTAAGCAGTGAATATTAACCAGAAAACGGCCTCTCCCTTTAACCCTTTACATCATTCATTTCTCAAGATAAAAAAATAAGTATTGGGGCGCCACTGCAGCCACTTCATTACATGAAAAACCCTACAAACACCATCCTCAAATCAAGTGGTCTCTTCGCAGACGCTGCAAATTACAATATCTCAATCATGTAGTGTTGCCAAAGTATTGTGCACGCACACACACACATGCACACACCCACACAATGCCAAGAATATACCTAGAAAAAAGACCAAGAATCGAAAGAGAATAATGGAGAGCCAAGGATTAATTATTTGTTTTCAAATTATTGTGCGCGCACACACACACAAACTTATACAACGCCAAGAAAACAGCAAGAAAAGAGTAGAGACACAATACACACGCAACTCCAACAGCCATGCAAACGTCCACCTATTTACACGTGAAGTCAAGAGGGATAACAAATAATTATACGAAACGAATGCATACGTGGGCGGATGCACGCACGTTTACATACATGTAGTAGTGTAAGAGAGTAACATAGTGCAGTAGTCAGCATAATACTAGCACATGCTGAGAGTGCAATAGCAAGCTTCACCATTGCTCATGGCCATGCAAATGTTCAGCAGCACTCAGTTCCGCAAGCTTCTGAAGACCAGCACACCTGCAACAAATAGATAGCACAAGGATACGCTTATTACCGTAATGATGCATGGGAGCACACAACTACCAAGTTCTCAACGAATGTGATGCTCAATGAAAATCCATCCACTCAAAGACCTGTGAACAGGTGACGGTGGGGACAATAATCTATTAGTAATACGAGGAATAAGGTCGTTTGTGCACACTCAAGACGCACAGAAACACCGCCATACATGTAGTGTACACAGTGTTTCACTTCACTGCAACTAAATTGAAATGGGATGATTTGAACAATCTGTACCGCGTTGCCGTCAGTCAGTCTTCCCCAAGATGGAAATGCAATGATTTGTTGTCACGAGGCAGTTTCACTGACACAATGTCATGTTTGTGACATCAAAACGGTTACTTCATGGAATACGAGTACAAGTATTAGCTTGAGAAGCTTTTTCTTGTCTTCGGCAGAAGTAGTAGATCTACACTGGCACTGCGTTTGTGGATCCCATTGTATTTGACATCATACTAGAGCCTAGTAGAGGAAGTCTCTCTCTCTCTCTCTCTCTCTCTCTCTCTCTCTCTCTCTCTCTCTCTCTCTCTCTCTCTCTCTCTCTCTCTCTCTCTCTCTCTCTCTCTCTCTCTCTCTCTCTCTCTCTCTCTCTCTCTCTCTCTCTCTCTCTCTCTCTCTTGCTCTTCCTCTTGCTCTCTCTCTCTCTCTCTCTCTCTCTCTCTCTCTCTCTCTCTCTCTCTCTCTCTCTCTCTCTCTCTCTCTCTCTCTCTCTCTCTCTCTCTCTCTCTCTCTCTCTCTCTCTCTCTCTCTCTCTCTCTCTCTCTCTCTCTCTGTGTGTGTGTCCACTCTACTAATGAATGTGAAGCAGTCACTTTAAATCTCCTTTGAAAATGCACTGAGTGAATGTGTGTAATCATGCCAGTAGTGGGTACTTCTAATATACGAAAAAGGTCTCGAGCACGAGAAATAGGTCTCAGCAGTCATGCATACGTCAGTGGAAGCCATCAGGCACCACACCTCACTCTCTCTCTCGGTACTGTACCGTGATCGAAACAAATAGAGTTAAATGTCGTCTCAGTTCCTGGAGGAGCTCACAGCTCACAGCACCCACTACGTGTACCATGGGAAATAATCCAGTAGATCTGGTGGTGCATACGTAACAGTGGGCCAGGCAGTGCATACGTAACTGTGGACCAGGCTGTGCATAAGTAACAGTGGACCAGGCAGTGCATACGTAACAGTGGACCAGGCAGTGCATACGTAACAGTGGACCAGACTGTGCATACGTAACAGTGGACCAGGCTGAGAAGGATACATCACATCACATCTCACAATGACTGGCACAATCCATATTGTGCTCCTTGTGCCTGGTCACATTTACCCAATTGGAACTTGGTAGCAGCACAGCTGCACAATCATGCTCGCATTCTGTAATGACTACGGATATAGCTAAAGCAGCTGAGCACCTTCTTGGGAAAACGTTGGCAAACGTTTCATGCGACCTTTCATTACTCAAGGCTAGAACGTCAGAATCTTATGAATCATTATTGAGCCTTTCTGTTGTTTTCTATTGTTTTTTGTTTTGTTTTGATCTTCTCTGCAGGGAGGCTGAACAGTGAGCACGACTACCGACTGGCCGAATATTTAAAAATCATTCAGTCAGCTGCTGCAATTGCGGTCACGGCATTCTTGCTATCCCCGTGATTTGTCCATCTACATGTAGTTATGCCCATCTTTCCCCATGCCCATGGAGGAGCCGTTTCGCAATTCCGTGATGACTTCATTTTTTTTTGTTTTTCTTTTTTTTTGCTGTCCAAGACTGGCTGTTATCACAATCTCACAGTCAGTCACCAATACGCTGTACTTGAAACTGTGATTCTGCAGTTGCCATGGCAATGACGTTAGTCACTGCATTCGTCTGAGTCGCACTGCAAACCAATTGACAGGCCGAAAAAACGTTGTGCACAAGCACACTTGATTCTTTGACTCTTTGCCGTGATAATGATGCAGACTTTATTCGATGAACCTTTCCTCTTTCAGGTCGTCTCCTTCCACTGTTTGAGAGTGGCAGACTCAACTGAGCATTATTATGCTCTACAACCATAATTTAATCCTTAGACATTTGAAATTCTCCCATGTCCCTCTTAGAGATTTTACTTTTTCTTTGGTTGTGTGTGTGTGTGTGTGCGTGTGTGTGTGTGTGTGTGTATGTGTGTGTGTGTGTGTGTGTATGTGTGTGTGTGTGTGTGTGTGTGTGTGCGTACGCGCGTGTGGAGTGTGGGTGTGCCAGTGAATGTATTTCCCTAGCTGTGTTGAGCTCCGCTTTCAGTTTTAAGATCATGACACGTTGGAACGTGGATGTGCTACCCCCCCCCCCCCCCATTTTTCATCTTATCTGCAGGCAGATTTGCTCATCCTCGTCTTGATATTTTCATGTCAATTTGCTATTTTTCTGATGCTTTCTGCTTTCATGACGATAGCAGGCATTCTTCACTAAAGCATTGTCTTTTATGTCGTAGTAATAATTTTTATTGGTAGTTGCCGACATACTGTGTTTTTTTTCTCCGCAAAATCCACATATCTCCAGCCACTGGGGTGAGTAATGGAGTGTGGTGGTGGGGCACATTTAAGGCCGTTATTACACTACGGCACGTGCCTCGCGTCTCACATCACGTGCTCCGTCTCACGGCAGAGCTCGGGGGGAAACGCTGACCTGCCCTCGAAAGCCCAAGTCTGGATTTGCTCACGGCACGGCTCGCGTTCGGATCACGTGACCCGAAACCGTCAGAATCTGATCAAACTTGAGCTAGACAGTAGTGTGAACGCGAGCCGCGAGTCGTAGTGTATTCTAACGGCCTTAGCTCATCCGACCAGAGTGTCCTGACCTGACAGTTTATACTGTGTTCTTTGTGTGTTCTTTGCTTGGCAAGCTTTTGAGCCGACGTGTGGGGTTCATGGGAACCATGGATACCTCCCAGGTTACCTGCCTGCTTTCAAAGTATCAGACCGTGTTTGCATGCATGTCCGAAGTGGATCGCAGAGAGCATTAATTTTCACATTATGCATTGGCATCTCGGGACAATCTGAGGGTAGCGGTCCTACTTGTACTATGTAGTACTAGCGGATACGCGTTGTTATCAGGCAGCTCATACTGTCATAGTCATACTCCGTGGGATGGTGTTGAAGACTCCAGTACCGCACTTGACTGCGAACCGAGAAGTCACCCCCCCCCCCCTAGCGGTCGCACATCTGACTGCAAAAAAAACATGGCACAGCTAACCAATTCAAGGTATGGGTCATCGTCACTCAACAGTTTAGTCGATTGAGCTAGCTAGCTTTTCTCCCGGTGCCCAGGCTAGAGGTGGGCTCACACCCCTGTAAGACAACCAAGGGCGCGTTCGAATTGTCACTCTTTGACTTTTCGAGGAGCTTCGTTTTTCTGAAGAGGTGGCCTTATTGGCCTCTTCAGAAAAACGACACTCCTCGAAACTCCACAAGCTCATCCGATGGGAGAAAATTAATGGATTAGTTCCGAAGAGTTTGGAATAGCTTCGTGACAATTCCACTCGGAACAACTCTAAAAATGATAGAAACCGTTCTAATGGGACACATCAACTAACCTCTTTAAAAAAATTGCTTGAACAGTAGGAAGACAATTCGAACGCCCCCTAACATCCCCATGTGTCAAACCCCAAGACCAAGACACAGTCCATGCAGCCATACTGGTCGCAATTTTAAAATCCTGATCACGATGGACACTGCAATTATGTACATCGTCATGTAGTGTTTTACGTCGACCATGACGGCTACAATGCCCAACCATACCACAACGAACTGATCGGCTACATCATTGTATTGCAAAAAGTTTCCATCTGTTCGAATAACATGCATGATGAGCTAGGCAACAAAGCATAGCGTAGGACCCTGAGCAAAAGAAACAAGCAGCTGCTGCGATAGCACGGCGCAATCAAATAATTCTGAATTCAGGTTCTTGTTCAACCTGCGCAAAGCCCAGATTCGATTGCTGATTGACCATGCATTCTTTCAGAAGTCTGCAGTCCGACGTGAGTCTCGTGGCTAAGGAAAGTTGTTCTAAGCGTTTTCTTATCCATCAAAATCCATCACGAAGTTTTTGTTAACGGAGGAAGTTTTTGTGGACCC